ATTATTTTCTAGCTGTAGGTACGTGAATAATTATTATAGTAAAAACTCACATTGCAACCACTGGACTTGCCACTGGACTTGCCACTGGACTTGCTACTGGACTTGGCACTGGACTTGGCACTGGACTTGCCACTGGACTTGCCACTGGACTTGCCACTGGACTTGCCACTGGACTTGCCACTGGACTTGCCTCTGGACTTGCCACTGGACTTGCCACTGGACTTGCCATTGGACTTACCACTGGACTTGCCACTGGACTTGCCACTGGACTTGCCACTGGACTTGCCACTGGACTTGCCACTGGAGCCCGGACCGTCTGTCCATTGCTTGGAACATGCGTCCCCGGTTGGTAATCGTGAACGAGAGTCAGGTTTAGGAAACACCCAACCTGAACGTGCTCTGTCTCTACTCTTTGTTAGTCGTGAGTATATTGTGTGAACATGCAGCCAGTCATATTGCCACACTGATTAGGTGTCTTGTGTGGTGAAGTCTCCCGGCGGGGAGTATGACTCAACGCCTGCTATTCAACAGTGCAGTGAAGTCTGAATGCAATGCATGGGGCACTGGACCATTGGACCGCAAACACGTCCATCCACCCGATGACCGGCGAGATGTCTGTGTAAAGAAGCACAAACAGCCATGCATGTTCTTTCCGTCTTACAAACATCGTTAAACTTTCTGCACGGTATCATGCCAAAATTACAAAAATATTAAACTTTTTTGGAGACTTTACTTCTACCTGCAAACCCCAGAAACGGTCCTTCACTGTGATTCAAATTCAAATTTTCATTTAACTTTCCAGTTTTACAGTACACAACAGATATAATTTGGAAATCTGATGACAGCTTTGCAACAAATGCACTGCGCCTTGCTAGCGCTGAAGCAGGCAAGAAAGGGCAATGCACCGAATAGAAGAAACAGCAACTTCCCTCGTAGTATCATAGTCACAGCAGATCAATACAAAGTCAATCACTAAAAAGAAAAAGGGAGTGCTGCTCGAGGCGAAAGGGAACCGAAACTGGGGACTGGTCAAAATCGGCCACAAAACATGATGTGAGTACATACCATACAGTTATGTATATTTTAAAGGAAGCATACAGCTTGCTAAACTAGCTAAGGCAACTTGCCACCAAGAAACTAGGGATACTATCTCTACAAGTGTGAAGGAAAAAAAACAGAAAGAGCTAAAATAAAATAAAAACATAGGGCACGCAATCACATGCCACGACGCTCAAATATGCACAACAAAATTAGGGAGGATTGCACGCAGGAAACACAGAGTGGACAGGAAAGCATTGTGAAGAGTGTTGGTAAGCAGGTTTGTGTATGTGTGGGCGCACGTGTGTCTGTATGTCTGGTCGTGAATCAATCATGTGTGATTGAGTGGGCGTGGGTGCACATGCGAGGGTGTGAATGCATGGGAGCGCATGTGTGGGTGTGCATGCGTGGTTGTGCATGCGTGGATGTGGA